CACAGTTATAGACCAATCTTCACGAAATTTTTCTTGTAGGATGGGTTCTGGCCAATGAAGATCCCTATTGTTTTTGGAAAAGATCGCTTAACATTTAGGGGATGAAATGGACCAAAAACTTTATTTTTGTCTGATTTTCTGGTCGCTTCAGTGGCCGCAATTATGACCCAAACACCGCGAATTTTTGCACGGGGAAGGAGATCAGCCCGAAGAATAAGTATGCCTGTTTTGATAAACATCGGTCAATATTTAGCGGGTCAACTGGACCCTGACTTTTGTGTGAAAAATTACAAAATTTGTATTCTATGGGGTATATATTTGCACCTCAACGTCCTAGACCCGAGAAGTTGATAGTATGTTCAAGAGGAGTGGTTGACCCTTAAATTGATACCAATTATAATATCGTATGTACTCGGATGTGGGAGTTACACGTAAATATTCAAAGGTGCTTACGTTTTCAGATATTATTTAACAAACCACTACCACACTAGAGGGCGGAAATATAGCGCAGATCGCTTTGAAATGTTTCATGAGGTTTCAGTTATGGTCAAGGACAACGCCTATAATTTTTGGTGATGATCAGATAATAATTTTGTGATAACGTGGACCGAAAACTTAATTTTTTTGTCTTTTTCGAGTCGATCTATAGGCCACAATTGAAAGCCGAACATCACAACACATCCCTCGGTGAAGGGAATCTGGAACATTTGTTGACCTCTAGTCGGCCAAGAGGGTGAAAATATCGCGAAATATTGCCCATGCTCAGAATATATAACCACACAAAGTTAGATTTTCGTGGAAGTTGTGTAGGGTGTCATATGGTCGGCCCCGTCCGATTATACTGCTCCGCTCACTGGTTTTACATTAATGTTTTATATGAACTAAATTGATAATTTCCAATATATATGTATGGGGATATATGAAAGTAGTAAATGAAATTATTGAACTAATTTTCTGATCGAATGGGCTATAAGTAGTCATTTGGGGTTCACTGAAGGTAATATTGAGTTTTGGCATATAGAACATACATCAGTACAGTCCAATGTCGATATGTTTTGGTAGGGAGATTTACAATCCAATGAGAATTCAAAGTACTCAATTATAGGCAATTCTGTTGAAAAACTTGCCAAAATACCGAGTAATGGGTTGTATCATAAAAATTGGACCGATATCCATCACTTTCAGTCAGGAGATTTGTTACATAATGGGAACTCATATGATTTCAGAATTTATGCACTTTTATTTATGCACTCTGACATTTGTTGCTTAGCACGGTGAAAATAAATATTGTCGCATTTGTGTCATCATTTTCTTATTGTCCGGATTGTAAAGGTGATGCTATTGTTTTTGATGTTGTTACAACATATCGGCGTGCAACTTGTTTTTATTCTGCTCCAAATAATACACATCGGTGCAGGCACTGAAAATAAGCTTAGCTGGCACATATTTTATCCTATTCAAGTTACACCTGGCTGAACCCCACAAGTAGTAGTCGCAACAAATACTGCAACCGAAACAATACCAACAACATACATACATCCATACATAAGCTAGCTACTCACTCACCTGCATGGTGTCGGAAATTGTCATACGTTCGCTGAGAATTTCGTGTAAGTGTTGTGTGCCCATTGTGTTGCGAAGAGTGGTTTGCGCCAACAGCCTTGTCGAATGATGTGCATTTTCAACATTTGCTATGGAGACTGTTGCATTCGAGACGCGATAGTAGACAACGGCATCCACTGACACAGTAACACTGTCCTTTGTTAAAACCTGAAAGTAAGAAGAAGAAAAACAAAAAACGAAATCACAGGTAAATATAGAAGCAGCAGCACATATTGAATTGACATGAACAAAAATGTAGGAATCAACAAAATGGCATTAATAACGGTAAGAATAACTTTCTAGTGAAGAAGTAATAAAATGTAGAAAACAAAATGTGTTTGTCTTCGTATTCCTATGTTTCTGCTTCATTGCAGTTCTTTGAATGCGTAATATTGATAATGTAAAAGTATTTTTTCTTTTGTAATACCTTACTTATTTTTTAGAAGAAAATGTATTATTTGCAAATTCAATATATTGAAAATAATACTTTCAAAACTATGCATTTTCAAAGGAAAATGTCTTTGGATAAATATTAAAGGAAAGAAGAAAATTAGTTAGAAATCAGAATATAATTAATATCATCAATTATCATGATGTACATATGTAGTTTATAGTTTTATTCACTTTCACAAAATTCTGGTATCTTCCAAAAATTATTTTAAAAACATAACAACTTTCAAAATGTTTTCAAATGTTCTACAAATAGGAAAATATTCCATATTTATACCCTTCACCACACTGTGGTACAGGGTATTATGTCTTTGTGCATATTTTTGTAACAGGCAAAAGGAAATGAGATAGACACATGGTTCCTTTTGAGAATATGCATAGAATCACGTTTCAAGTCTATTTATGCATGTCTGTCCATGTTAAATTGTGAACAAAGTACAGGTCGCATTTATTATCCGAATTGGATGAAATTTGGCACAGCTCATTCATTTGGCCCAAGGACGAACCCTATTGAAAAATCGGTTCAGATTTAGATATAGCTCCCATATAAATTTTCGTCCGATTTAAGGTAAATGGTGTACAAAAGTCATTAAATTTGCACGAAATTTGGTACATCGTACTAAATTTCGCCTAGAATGATGTGTGCTAAGTTTCGTGAAAATCGGTTCAGATTTAGATATAGTTCCCATATGTATTTTCGCCCCATGTAAGGTAAATGGTGCAGCAAAGTCCCTAAATATCTTTCGATTTGCACGAAATTTGGTACAGCTTACTGAAATAAGCTTAGAATAATGTGTGCTAAGTTTCGTGAAAATCGGTTCAGATTTAGATATATCTCTCATATATATTTTCGTCCGATTTAAGGTAAATGGTGCACTAAAGTCCCTATATATCTTTCGATTTGCACGAAATTTGGCATATCGTACTGAATTGAGTGTAGAATAATGTCTGCTAAGTTTCGTGAAAATCGGTTCAGATTTAGATATAGCTCCCATATATATTTTCGTCCGATTTAAGGTAAATTGTGCACTAAAGTCCCTATATATCTTGCGATTTGCACGGCGTACTGAATTAAGCCTACAATGTTGTATGCGAAGTTTCGTGAAAATCGGTTCAGATTTATATATAGCTCCCATATATATTTTCGTCCGATTTAATGTAAATGGATCACCCAAGACACTATATATCTTTCGATTTGCACGAAATTTGGCACAGCGTTCTGAATTGGGTCTGGAGTCATATCTGCCAAGTTTCGTGGAAATCGATTCAGATTTGGATATAGCTGACATACATATTCTCGTCCGATTTTTTGTAAAAGGTGTACCAAAGCCTCTACATTTCTTTCGATTTGCACGAAATTTGTATAGCGTACTGAATTAAGTCTAGAATGATGTGTGTTAAATTTCGTGAAAATTGGTTAAGATTTAGATATAGCTCCCATATATATTTTCTTCCGATTTAAGGTAAATGGTGTGCCAAAGTCTAGAATGATGTGTGTTAATTTTCCTGAAAATGCAGATTTAGATATATCTGCCACATATATATTTTCGTCCGATTTTAGGTAAATGGTGCACCAAACTCCTCCGATTGACACGAAATTTTGCTCAACGTATTCAATTCAGACTAGATTGATTGCGTTTTTTTTTGTAATGGGTGCAGATGCAGACATAGCTTCCTTATATATTTCGAACGGGTGTCTGATTGATATTATCGAATAGTGTGTATCAAGTGTGCTATAAATCGATTTACCCAAATTTGTCCCTTTGAAATTTAGCATATGTTGCAGAAAAGCATATATATGGATTTATGTTAGTCGGTTCATTTATTGATAAAGATCAAATCAAACAATTGTGAATTAAAAAATGAGAATACCCATATGTAGAATATACCCAAAGTGGTGAAGGGTATCATATAGTTGGCCCAGCCCGACTTTACTACTTTCCTTACTGGTTTTCTATACAAAACAATTATCAAATAATTACATTTCATAAATGTTCCTTAGCTCTCACTTACATACAATTAATATTTTCATTAATTGAAACATTATTAAATCTAAAACAAAAATTTTATTAATTTGGTGTTCTATAAACATAAAATTTGTCCTACGATTTTTTCCTCATTTATAGTTTCCAATTTAATGTACCTTGACTGAGCTAAAATCCTCACAAAGTCCGTTAATTCCATGTTCACTTCCCAAAAAATAATCAAATTACCCCTTTTATATCAATTGGATATTGAATATTGTTCGCATGAAAAATAAATACAAACATCCACTCGTTCTCTCTCTCTCACTCTCTCTCTCCGTCTTGTTTTCAACTTACCTCTTGTGGTGGTACATCATATGTCCTTGTACGTAAATCCACTCTGGCATATGAATCTATACAGGGCAGTATGAAAAATATACCTAAGAAATGAAATCGACAACAAAATGAAATTATTAAGATTTAATTTGTAAGCTTTTACGAGAAAATCCATAAAATCGTATTACTCAATAACAAACGGAATAAAATGTTGCAAATGGGAGGCAAAAGGGGAGAACTTTTTGTACATACCGGGTCCTTTGGCACCACCCTGCATCAAACGACCTAAACGAAAGATAACAGCCCGTTCATATTCCTGGACCACCTGTAAGAAGAGACACAAAAACAAACGCAAGCACAAAAGAGTTACAATGTTTTTGTTTGTTGTTCAAATATACATAGAGGTTTGCCATATAACCACCTGAGTCTATCTGAATACACATAGCAATATATCCACCATAAATGTACACATGTGTATATACAAATATATGTTCTTTGTGTTTATATTGGTTTTAGTGTTTATATTAGGTTTAGGGCTAGTTATTGCTGTTAGGAGACATTTATAAACAAGGACATTGAAAAATCATATCCGTACTTCTCTATAGTGTGAATATGAGGCAAATAAATATTTGATTATTTGTCACATCGAGAGACATAGTGCGCACCAGACAAATCCATTGTCTCAAAAGCGGAAATTTGGGGTCTAAAACCAGTATTTCGAGGAGGCACATGTTTGCGTAGCAAAGGCTATACAAAGATATATTTTATTTACGTTTACTTTTGAAACAACGAAATTGATAAACCTATGTTTGGTAAAAATACACATATCCCTTCATTGAAATTAACGTCAGTTTGTTTGCCTATTAACGAAATAGTGGAGCTTTTTTATGCAACTGATAAACGAAAGGGTTAACTCAAATACATGTTTATACCCTCCACCATAGTATGGAGGGTATATTAATTTTGTTTTTCCGTTTGTAACTCCAATAAAGTATATATATTCTTGATCAGCGTAAAATTCTATGACGATATAGCCCCATCTGTCTGTCCGTCTATCTGTTGTAATCACTCTAGCGTTTAAACGAATTGAGATAGATCGCCAAAATTTTGCATAGAGTCGTCTTTTGTCTGCAGGCAGGTCAAGTTCGAAGATGGTTCACGTTTAGGCATATCTCCCATATAAGGATACCCCCATATTTTCGGTATTTTGGGGTTCTTGAAATTTGGTACATTGGGTTCTTATTGGGTACTAAATGTCTCCACAAAAAACTATAAATATAGGTCCATAGCCCTTATATAACGGTACCTCCTAATTTTCAGTATTTTGGGGGTTTTGATCGTATTTTTCCGCCGAATTAGCTGTAATTTAGTACTTTGAGTTCTTAAAACGTAACAAATCTCTGCACAGGAAATTATATATATATATATATATATATATATAGGTCCATTTTTTCGGATAGCCACATATAAGGGTTCCCCCAATTTTCGGTATTTTGGGGTTCTTGAGCGCGTTTTTGAACCGAATTTGCTGATATTTGGTATTTTGGTAGTCGTGTATGGTAACAAATCTCCCTACCAAAAATTATTAATATTCGCCCCCTTTTTGGGGTAGTCCCCCTTTTTATATTAAAATAGTTATCTGATTTGGTCCTCGTTTTGAGTTTGGTTCTAAGACTCTGTTGTAATAATTTCACCTGCGGAGGATAGCGAGACAAAAAATTAGAACTTAAGGTTCGATAATGAACTATAATCGCATTTAGACCTAGCCCCTGTGTGAAGGTTGCAGAACGAGTGGACCGTTGTTATCAATCTTCGAATTTGTACTAAGTTTGGAAGAAATAATAAGATGGGCAAAGTTTGGATAAAATCTGAATTTTCTGAAACGGATTTGGTCCAAAGAAACATGGGGTCTAGAACAAATATTTTGATGAGGCACATTTTCACCGTGTTAAAATGTATATCCATAAGGCTGAGGGTATAATTATTCATTAAAAATTTCTGAAATTTGTGTTATGGTTTACATAATCCGTTTTTAGAAATGTCGGTATAAGTCCACTTTTTGGTATGTTCCCTATATATTCATTTCTAGTACCTGTACCTATATCTATGGTGGGGGGTATATCTATGGTGGAGGGTATATCTATCGTGGAGGGTATATCTATGGTGGAGGGTATATCTATGGTCGAGGGTATACATCTTTTTCACTTGTTAAGCTTTTTGATTTGATCCAAAGTTTGTCACATAGATCATCAATAGATATGTAATATCTTCATCATTTCAATAGCTCCACTAAGGCCTCTTTTAATTTTTAATTTCCACTAATACTACTTTTAATTTTGAGAAATTAGAATTGGAATTAATATATTGTTTTTATATTCATCAAAAAAATAATTTGAATTAATTAACAGATATGCAAAACATCCGATTTTTATCCGGAAAAAAAACTACAAAAAATGTGTTCATTAAAAAATACGTTTACACCTCAAGTGTCTTCAGATCAAATTCGTTACCAGCAAAGCTGATTCCATTGAGGAAATCTGACGGAGTAATATGCACTTCTCTTTCTCGCACCTCCACCGAACTTTTATACCCTCCAACATGAGGATGATACTAAAATATCTAAAGGTAATGGGGCTCCTAGGAGAAAACACATGTTACGATAGGACCTTGAACATATCGACAAATACTTGAGAAAAAGATGATTGAAATTCTCAAAATATTAGGTTGGGGAAAATCCGTTATTTTTTCAGCAGATGGCTGTACTGATAGATTTCTCGAAAAGTATTTGTTTGGTGCATTCAGTTGTGAGTTACAGGGTGTTAAAAATGAAAGCGAACAAAGAGAAAATTCGGCACGTTAACAGTCGTAACATCGCCCAGTAACAAAAAATCGGCCATAACTGCTAAAACCATTTACACAAAAAATAATAATAATGGATTTTGTTTTCCATGGAGCTATAATAAAATAGAATATCAATATTGATATTTTTTGGTAGTGAGATTTTACAGTCAATGAGAAATGCAAAATACCAGATTAGTGTCAATTCGGTTGAAAAACGTGTCAAAAAATTAATTAAATTAAAATTAATCTTTACAATATCACCTTGAATTAATATTAATAATTTTTAGTTTGAAGATATGATGGTACCGCTATAAGAACATAAAATACCTAATAGCTGACAAATTGATTGAAAAAAGTGTCAAAAATTCCTCCAATATGGGAGCTACCCTGAAACTGAGGTCAATATTAACAAATTTTGGTACGGAGATGTACTATACAATGAGAATCCACAATTCCAAATTACAATACTCAATATTTGTGGGGCTGTCCTGAATCTTGGGTCAATATAAATAAATGTTGGTACGGATATGCCTTATTCCTTGAGAACCCAAAATACCAAATTACAGCAACAATACATAATAGTTTGATATATACAACATACTACAACCACACCGTCTGACACATTCTAAATTATAATTTTTATATCCTACACAACTATGTTGTCAGGTAGCTTTGTGCAGCCCCAAGAGTTTGCAACGCCGCGAAATATTGGTCTTAGACCCACCTTCAAGTATACCGATAGTCATATCTCGACTAGCTGAGTCAATCTAGACATGTGTGTCCTTCCTTCCTCTGTCCATTATATTTTGTAAACACGATACAGGTCACATTTATGGACCAATCTTCACGAAATTTTGCATGTGGGATGGGTTCTGCCCAATGAATCTTGGTAAAGATCAGTTAATATTTAGGCCCAAACATCGTGAATATTTACATGGAGAAGGGGATTGGGCCAAAGAATAAGCATGTCTGGTTTGATAAAGATTTTGTGTGTAAAATTACAAAATTTGTATTCTGTAGCGTATTTATTTACCCCTGAATGACATAGACCCGAGAAATTGATAGTATATCGAAGAGGAGTGGTTGACCTTTAAATTGATACCAATTATATTGTCGTATGTACTCGGATGTGGGAGTTACACTTAAATATTTACAGGGGCTTACGTATTCATATAAAGTAAAATCCCGATAATTCGTAATGTCAAGAGGCCGACGGTTTTATACGAATTAACGAGGTTTTCGAATTAGCGGGGTTTCGAATTAACGGGAGGAAGAAAGAAAAAATACGAATTAACGAGGTTTTTATTCAATCGTGAGTATACATACGTATTTAGGTACATAAACCATGCGAGAAGTCAATCCTTAAGCTCCACGAATTCGCCTTCTTTTTTGTGAGATGTGGTAGCGACTCGCTACATATTTTTCACTCATTAGTGATGTCGAGCTTTGTGCGAATAGATAGCGCCTAGTAGTGCTATCGTTTTGTGATATTTGAATTAAATTAACTGAGCTGCAGAAAAATGTGAATATCCCGATCGATCAACGTTAAAATAATAAAAGTTAGAGAAAGGCACACGCAAAAACAAATGTATTGCCACTTCAGAGCAGAGAATCACTAGTCAATGGTTTCCCGTTAATGTCGTACGATGAGCTCAAAATACTGGGTTTCATACAAAGAATGCGGCGCCCGCTACTTTAAAATGCACAAACGAAGAGAAAGAGATAAATAAACCATTTGAAGTTTACGAATTATCGAGGTTTACGAAAACAAATTACGAATTATAACAGGTATTTAGGCATTCCGTTGGAAAAAAAATTAGGAATTATCGAGGGGACCGAAATGTATGGGATTTTTACGAATTATCGCGGTTTTTCCAAAAGACCGGCATTTTGTTACGAATAAGCGGGGTTTACGAACTAAAGGGGTTACGAATTATCGGGATTTGACGGTATTATTTAGTAACCCATTACCGCACTAGAGGGCGAAAATATAGCGCTGATCGTTTTGAAATTTTCCATGAGTATCCAGGTATGGTCAAGGGCAACACATACAGACCACAATGAAAGCCGAACATCAAAACACAATTCACGCTGAAGGGAATCTGGACAAGTAATTAGAAGGATTGTACTGAATATTAGTAATATTTGTTGACATCAAGTCGGTCAAAAGGGTCAAAATATCGCTATATATTGTCCAAGCTCACAATATAGAACCACACAATGTTAGATATTCGTGTAAGTAGTGTAGGGTGTCATATGGTCGGCCCCGTCCGACCATACTGCTCCGCTCACTGATTTTGTAATAAAATTTAAACTTTAAGTTATGCAAAGTTTCGACTGTATTTTCCACGTCCATCAATTGATACGAATTGTTTTATAAGTAATTACTTTTCTTGTTGAATTTTCCTGAAATAAAAAAAATAAACAAAAACAGAAAACATTTCATATTTACCTTAAAGCATACAAACAAACTGAAGGGTAATGTCAATATGACCAGACACACCGATAGGAATATCAGGATTTTGCCACACGTTGATGCCTGGTGATTCATGTCTCCATTAACTTCGAAAGGTCAGCATAAGAAGTAAGAAGAAAGACAGAAACAACGATGTTAGATAACAAATACAAATGCATATACAAAAAGTATTAATTTATTGCTTAATTTAATAAGAAAATATTGTATGTATGTAAGTGTTTCTACTTATACAACTAACTACTAATGGAATGCTCAAATAATGTCATTAAGATATTGCAATACAAATGTTTAAATGAGTATTTTTTTTCTTTTTGTTTTTGTTGTCAGCATATGGTTGGCCACCCGTCCATAATATCAGAAGTTTTCTGGGCAATTTTCTTCTCTGCTGGCTTTCGATAAATCTTTATAAGTGTTGTTTTTTTTTTCAAAAAAAAAAAAAAAAATATTTTTTCTCTCATAAATAAAATAATTTTTTTTATTGTATGTGTGAGTGTTTAGGGTATATGAGGAGGTGTTAGTGGGAGTGAAATCATATTTTCTGTTCAATGACATTTATAGCTGACAAAACAACAACATGTATTTTGCTGTTGCCATTATTGTTGTTGTTGTGGTGTTT